CTTCAGGGAGGACTTTGGGAGCTACACTGACGGATGAACCCATTTCAGGTGAAAAGCAACTTCGATCTGGTCCTTTTGCTAGTGTATTTCAGCACCAGAGAAGGAAGACATTTACTTTGGATAAATGAAGCTGGAAGGCTCACCACAGAAGATTTACAAAACCGCCTGTTTTCGGCAATTGCCCAAATTTATGCTTTGCACAATAAACCGACCAGGTGTCAAGAAATTGAAACCAAGATTAATAATGACATGGCTTAGGTTCCTAAGCGAGACATTTTATACTAGTACAGGTAAGCACAAAATTCCCCTTCTAGTGGACTTTTAGACAAACGTTTGTACAAAAAGTGATTCACAGGCGGAAAATCACCCAACCTTTACCACCTCTCCTTCAATAAATAAATAAATACACTTTTAATAGATTTTGCTTTACAGAGGAAGTGATATTTTGAAATCCCAACCAGAACAACAGCATGCAATGTCTCGTGGTTGATTGTGTTCCACACAAGCACTTGCTGAGACCAAAGCGAAAGAGCAACCACGGGGAGCATTGGGAACAGCGCTTGAAAGAAGAGGGGTGTGCAATGACTTAACATTTGTTCTAGAGTAAATTTGAATACGCGAAATCTCCCTTTTCCTTCGTTCTTTCAATGGTATAACCGAAAAGCCATTCTTATGACAGTCCAGTCCCCATTCGCGGCAGGAATGGACCACTCTTCTGAATCGGCATACTTATTTAATGTTTCGGGGAATACCTGTTATAGAGTATGTTTAAACCCAAAGGTTTTCCTAGGCATATGCTTGAAATTTAGGTAACAATTTAAAATTCCGATTAATTGGGTGTCTGGCCACGCAGGCACTTCTTCCCTAGGAGATTATGCTCCCGCTCTGGTGGCTGACCTACAGGGTATGCCAATGACCTTCCGACAATGCTGTACCTTAGTAAAATGTAATCATTCACAGTACTTTGGCTTTTTACGACTTCCAGGAGGTCTTAGGGAGCTAAAATAATGCATAATGAATGAATATATAACCACCGGATAAAATAAATGATTTGAGAAAAATTAAGGATAAAATTTAAGTTGGTAATTAAAGGCTTGGTGTCTAAACAACAATGGAAACTTGCTAAAATTTTTCGACAGGTCATGGCTCCCGAAAATGGCAGTTGCTATTGATAATGCTATTAAACAGAAACGCTATTTTTATCCACTTACCTGCAGTTTGAATAAGAAATTGTGAAAAACAGTGCCCTGCATTGGAAATTCTAGATGAAATAAGTACTTCAAAAACAACAACACTGGTTATATCGTATTGTAATGATGTGAGATTTAAATCAACAGCGTGCTTAGCTCTGAACACTCTTCAGGCTCTTCAGGTTGGATCGTGACCCTTCGGCTACGCCCCAAGCCTCTCAG